CGCGATGATGATTAAGCGGATACTCGTTCAGAAATGTGAGCTGCCCATAGGGAATTATGCAGTCTCTAGGAATCTCCCGGATCTTATTTTATTTTTTTGCTGGGGGGGGGGGTTTCCATCCATCTTGGTGTAGCCCTTTCTAAATGCTGCCCTCCCCCCAATATCTTCATTATCCCCCCCCTTTTTGCAGAAGCCTTCCCAATATCCCCCCCCAGGTTGTTTTTTTGGGTGGGGGGCTCCTAATATCCCCCACGTTTTGTGCTTTTTGGAGGAAATCCCCCCCCCGAACCCCCTCCTTTTCCTATCTGCGTATCCAGAGCTCTCCAGCACTGCTGCTTGGGGGAGGGGGGGGGCGTCCCTAATTTTTAATTTGAATGATTACTGTATTCCCCCGCCCCCACGTCCTAGGGTTGCCGGCTCTAGGTTGGGAAATACCTGGAGATTTGAGGGGTGGAGCTTGAAGAAGGCAGGGATTTGGGGGGACGGGAGGGACTTCAATGAGGGTATAATGTTCTAGAGTCCACCTCCCTAAGTGGCCATTTTTCTCCAGGCGAGTGAATCTCCGTTGCCGGGAGATCAGTTGGGGTAGCAGGAGGTCTCCAGCTGTCACCTGGAGATTGGCAACCCTACCTTGGGCTCTTCCTCCTCACAACAGCCCTGCGAGGTAGGCTAAACTGAGGGCAAGCGACTGACCCAAGGTCACCTAAATGAGGCTTGGGGATGAGCTGGCACCTGAACTCGGGCCTCTCCAGACGCTGCATCGTGCAATCTTTCTGGCTCCACTGCCCCTTGCGTCTCCTCCAAACCCCAATAATGTACACGGAATGTTTCTAGATTTCCCTTCATTCCCACCCTCCCTCTCCCCGAGGTCTATTGTGAGTCTGCGTAATTGCTGAGCCCCTTACCACCTAAGAACATCAGAGAAGCCAATGCTGGATCAGCCCAATGGCCCCTCCAGTCCAACACTCTGTCACACAGTGGCCAGAAATACCAGGTGCCCTCAGGAGGTCCAGCAGTGGGGTCAGGACACTAGAAGCCCTCCCACTGTTGCCCCTCCCCCAAAACACCAAGAAGACAGAGCATCACTTGCCCCTGCCTGAGAGTCCCTATCTATAAAGGTAAAGGTTCCCTTGCTCGAAAGCCAGTCGAATCCGACTCTAGGGTTGCGGTGCTCATCTCCGTTTCAAAGCCGAAGAGCCAGCGCTGTCCGAAGATGTTTCCGTGGTCATGTAGCCGGCATGACTAAACGCCAAGGCGCACGGAACGCTGTTACCTTCCCACCAAAATCTACTTGCAATTTCTTGCTTTCGAGCTGCTAGGTTGGCAGGAGCTGGAACTAGAGATAGGAGCTCACTCCGTCATGCGGCACCCGGGTCTGCAACTGAGCCACCACAGCTCCATTCCCTATCTATACCTTGTGGCTAATAGCCACTGATGGACTTCTGCTCCATATGTTGATCCAATTCCCTCTTGAAGCCGTCCATGCTTGTAGCCATCACCACCTCCTGTGGCAGTGAATTCCATGTGCTGATCACTCTTTGGGTGAAGAAGGACTTCCTTTTATTCGTTCTAATTCGACTGCTCAGCAATTTCATGGCGTGCCCACGAGTCCTTGTATTGTGAGAAAGGGAGAAAAGTACTTCTTTCTTGACCTGCTCTATCCCACCTCCCTAGACCAACCCCCAGGCCCCCTTTAAAGGTCCTCCTACTTCCAAAACCTCCATCTCCTTCCTTCTCCACCCTGCCTAGCGTCCTCTGATGGCACCTGGAAAGGGCAGAAGACTCCTTCGGGCCTTTGCCCCAGGGTAACTTTTGTCAGAGAGAGGTTTTGCAGTTTCCCTCGGACTTCTCCCAGCCTCACTCCCAGACATTCAAAGTCAATATTGTGACAAGATTCCTAATTTCCTACCAAGGCCCGGGCTGCTAGCGGTCATCAGTTTGATTAATCAGCTGAGGCGTCCCTCAATCGATAGCTGGGGGGCTCCAAGTCAAAGAGGCACGCTGGATTTCCCTCCCCAGTTTTTCGTTCTGTAAAAGGTAAAGGTTTCCCTTGCTCGAAAGTTGAATCCAACTCTAGGGGGCGGTGCTCATCTCCGTTTCTGAGCCGAAGAGCCAGCGCTGTCCGAAGACTTTTCCTGTGGTCATGTGGCCGGCATGACTAGATGCCAAGGTGTACGGAACTCTGTTACCTTCCCACCAAAGCGGTACCTATTTATCTACTTGCAATTCCTTGCTTTCGAACTGCTAGGTTGGCAGGAGCTGGGGCCAGAGACAGGCACTCACTCCGACAAGTGCTTCCGCATCCCTGCCAGGTAGGTTGACAGAAGTCACCCAGCCAATGCTCCCTCTAAGCTGTGGAGTCCTGTGAGCAAAAATTCTACTTTCTGAGCTGCTGGCATTAAAGTTGTGAGCTACTGTCTAAATTTGGCTACTGCCTAACTTAGTTTGCTCTGGAGCCATCCATCCTGAGCAAAGACAAAAATGTGTGAGCCGGAGGCTAAAAACCTGTGAGCTAGCTCACACTCACTCTGCTTAGAGGGAACACTGAAGCCAGCTACCCAAAATATCATTCTTCTGTGTTCACGTTTCCCTCCCAGGAAAGAGAACTGGGAGCCAGTTTAATGAAGGAAAGGTGTTGCGGGGGGGGGGGGGGGCCTCCTGTCTTATATAACCTCCCTTTCCACTCTGGCGGTCCTTTAACGTTCCCACCCCCGCAATGTTGTTTCTGTCCCCGTTAGGGATCTCCCCCCCCACCATCAAGTCACAGCTCGAAACTGTTTCGACCCCAAACCAATTTCCACTGAACGTTGGTTTACGAAGCTATGGGACTTATTAACTATGGATACAATACCATACAAAGAATTGAAGAAAAAGGACTTACCACGGACTTATTGACCAAATGGTTACCTTTCTTGGAATATATACATAATGAGAGTTCACCACCTCGATGCAAAATGCCTGCAAAATACAAAGAAATACTCACCTGTTTATAAAACTTGCCTGTTCTTTAATAGACAATATTATTTAACTTCTTACCTGTATTTTTTAGCACTGTTTTGTAAGAACCACCTAGTTCATGGTTTAATGCGTGTAGTTCTAGTTATGTTTCACTGTTTATAAATGTTATCTAACATGAAAATTAAAAAAATATATACAAAAAATAAAAAAGTCACAGCTAGGGATGCCAGTCTCCAGGCGGGACCTGGGGATACCCCAGAATCACAGCTCATCTCCAGACTACAGAGATCAGTTTCCCCTGGAGAAAATGGATGCTTTGGAGTGTGGACTGTAGGGCATTGTACCCCACTGGGGTCCCTGTCCTCCCCAGGCTCCAACCCCAAACCTCCAGGAGTTTCCTAACCTGGATTTGACAACCCAAATCCCCCATGCCTAGCGGTGGCCAGGGGGTACCTGGCAACCCATCAGAGCTCATTTACAGGGACCCCGTAGGGCTCTCAAGGCACGAGATGTTCCGAGGTGGCTTGCCCGTTGTCTGCCGCCTTTCTCCCGGCCTTGGTATTCCTTGGAGGAATCCCCTCCAAATATTTGCAAGGGCCGATTTGGCTTCGCTTCCAAGAACTGGCCGTCTAGGCCAGGGCCCATTCGAGATCCCCCCCCCAAAAAAACGCACACACAATCCCTTCGTTTTCCCCCTCCTCCTTGGAAGAACGCTCAAGGCCTCCTTTTTCTTCTTTCATTCCAAGCTGTCGCGGTTGGGGTGGCGTTGCCTTGTGCTTGACATGAAGGGGCGACGCGGGCAGAGTTGTGTCTCCCCGGCGGTGGATTGATGCCAGCGGGTCCTGCTTGCCACTGGGCCAGCTGGAACCAGACGCAAGACCTCTGTCTGCCCTCCCCGTTATCAGCGTGTGCATTCGTGTTGGGGTGCGGGGGACAGAATTCATTGCACAGTGGAGAGAGGTGGAAACAGCTGGACGTTTGCTCTTCGGTCCGCGCAATTAGATTTGGCCAGGGCCGAAGGAACGCCTAGGCAGCTAGCCTCCATCCGGCCCAGCATGGTCTATCAGGCCAGGTGAAACACCTGGAGACAGTAGGAATCAAACCCGGGACCGTCTGCATGCAAATCGGGTGAGCAACTGCAAAACTCCGACTCCCCCCCCCCCATTTAAACATTGCCTGGATGATAAACAAGCACTCGAGAGGCTTATTCTTCTCGCATTCCAATGGAATGTTGTTTTCATGACACTTATGTAGCATTCAGTAGCTTGAAGGATGAGGAGGAGAAGAGGAGGAGGAGGAGGAGATTGGATTTATACCCTGCCCTTCACTCAGAGTGGCTTACAATCTCCTTTCCCTTCCTTTCCCCACAACAGACACCCTGTGAGGTAGGCAGGCCTGAGAGAGCTCTTTCGAGGACTGCCCTTGAGAGAACGGCTCTGAAATAACTTGTGACTGACCCAAGGTCACACCAGCAGCTGCACGTGAAGCGGTGGGGAATGAAACCCGGTTCTCCCAGATGAGAGTCTGTGCTCCTGGCCACTACACCAAACTTGGCTCTCTTAGGGTTAGTTTAGGGATGCCAAGTCCAGATTGGGAAACACCTGGAGATTTGGGGGGTGAACCCTAAGGAGGGCAGGGTTTGGGGAGGGGAAGGGACTCCAGTGGAGCATATTGCCATAGAGTCTACCTCCCAAGCGGGCCATTTTCTCCAGGGGAATTGATCTCTGTCGCCTGGAGATCAGTTGTCGTTCCAGGAGATATCTAGCCGCCACCTGGAAGTTAAATGCAAGGGGGAAAAACATGCACAAATTACAAGAAATAAATTATATATATTATAAATGTTGAACACTTATTAAAGAGATACTAATACCCATGTACTCT